GACTCCTAAGCGGACGCCACAACAAAATGACGGCTATAAGTTTTTTGATGATTTTTGATTATACAAAAGAATATGTGTAGGCTTCTAGAGAAAGACTTTCTCTATCTAATAGTGTATATATTGTCAGGATCTACTGCGTACTGTTGACCAGACAACAGTGCGCAGTAAAATTTAATAATTCATACATTATTAGATAGAAGAGTCTTTGTCGACGAGCTTGCATATATTCCACTCTTTAGTCAAACCCATAGAGACACCTTATATTTCAACAGTCATTTTTGTTCGTGTTTTTCAAACTTTTGCATAACAAAAATAAGGACTTTACCGTTTTACTTCTCGTTGTTCATTTTCCATTTCAACACTCCATACAAGTTGACCATCAATTGGACTAAAGAGAAATTATAGTTATTCTTTCTAATTAATAAGCAACATTTTCTTACCAAGTTGGATGACTATGTAAAAGCCATCCATCTAAAAGACGAAAACAACAAAGTTTCTTTTTATTATAAGAAAATTTCTTTTTCTTGTCTAATTACCTATGCAATCAATATGAAATTTATGTCGACATCGTAAACGTCGAACACGTTCACCTATTTGATAAAATCTTAAACATAAACGACATTGTTCACCATGTTGTAATAAATGACTACGTTCATTTATACGTTCAGTTGGCATTGATTTCACAACATTCTCTGGTACACCCATAATTGCAGCATTTTGTGCACTTTTAAAAAAAATAATTTAATAGAAACAAAAATAATTTTATTGTCGAAGTACTTTTCAAGTTGAATTAAAATTTCATAATCATTTTCATTTATGTCTCTATTTGCTAACATTTGATGAAGTGCATTGGGTAATGCTGTTAAATGTTCACGTGTTGCTATTTTCCAACGTTGATATGACCTCTAAATAAAAGAATTATTTATGACTCACTTTTCTTTTTTCTGTGAAAATTTTTTTACTTCTCGGTAGTCAAAACTATGTTCATTATGGAAATTTAAATTAAAGCATGTTTGACACAAAAAATAATCTTGACATGTTGTACATTTATAACATTTGCCGGAGATTGGACATGCACGACAACGATGACATGAATACCCTAAATGTATGGATGCTTTTTCAAGTTGTTGAGCACCAATTGTTCTAAAAAAACAACTTAGTTTATAAAATTCTGTTTATTACAAAACAGAATTTTCTTACTGAAATTCTTGTTTGAGTTGTTCAGGAGTACCAAATATTTCTCGGCATAATGGACATTTAATTGTTTTTTCACCTGTTGATACCTGGTGATCAAGCCATATTTTCATACACTTAACATGAACATTATTACCACAACCACGTCTAAAAAAATTAATTAGTCTATCAATATCAGACAGTTAAGTTCACATGTTTTTACTAACCGACAATAAGTAATAGGTAACTTTTTACTAAGGAATTCTTCTTGACATATAGGACATACGTCATTTTCACTAATTGGACGTTGTTCAACGTTACTATCAGCATCATTTTCATCTTCATCCTGTAATAACACAACACATTTTAATCTGAGGCAGTTGAGAAGTTATTTGTGGACGAGAAATGACAGGAACATTTGCCTAAATATAGATTTTTCTGACAGGCTTTCAACTCCTTTGACGTCGAACTTATTTTAAGAACAAATAAAAAATAAAAATCTATTGTTAACATGCTATGTTTGGAAAATTATTGGCGATCATGATTCTTGCAGTAAACTTAATTTTAAAATGCAATGATGTTGTCAGTGGCATCTGTGTTAGAATACAACAAATATTGGAAAGATCTATTTTACTATATTCCGGCTTCGGCTTCTATTAAAATTTTGAAAGTGTAAATTTACGGGCTTCGATATGAAAGCATTAAATCAGTCAACAAATTGAATTTTTACGAAAATCAATTAAAAGATCGTAGTATAAGATCTATAAGTTCTGGTTAACTAAAGCTAAAAATGTGAACTTTACATTACCCTGTTGATCTTCAATAAGAAGAATTTCATTACTTATCAACAAAAAGAGATTAAAGCGATCTATAATATTTAATTCGATGCATCTTTATTATCTCTTTCTAACAGCAGAAAAAAACTCACTTTCTTCTATGAACAATTTATTTTAAAAATATTTAATACTCCTCTCTTTTGCAATAAACAATAAAGCTGGTTTAGCTAAAAATAGACCATGCCGGGCCAAAGTTGAGCAGAAGATTTCTCAAGCATAAGACAACCGAACTTACTGATTTAACAATTTTTTATAGGTTTTCGTACAATTCCGGCCGGTGTATGTCATTTATTTGGAATAATAACGAGAATAAGTGATAGTTGTCAGCCAAAACCAAGCATTTTTGTGCGAAAATGGTGGTGAAAGGATCTTAATGTGTACTATCATATATCGAACACTACTTAATTACTTTAAAAAGTGGAAATAATAGTAGTATAATCGGAAAACGAGCTATAGTTTACCACCAGTGGATTACTTACCATTGTTGTCAAACCTGTATAAAACGTACTCTTTTAGTGGGTGTAAAAAGAATGACGAGTGTCTTACCGTAATGTTTTGACGGTAACTCTGTGTAGGAATAATCATCCAAAAAGAAAATCTTACCATCGTAGAATTTGTTGTCTAAGTCAATAGTAATACAAGCGAAAAAATGTTGTTCAGTGTGAGAAATTTTCTAGGAATGCGAGCTTTTCTAAGTTGCTCTAATGAAAGGAGTCTTTTTGAATGAGTGCGTTACTGTGACTTGCAATCTTTTTAGAGTCTTCACAGTTCGACTAAACGAAATGAAAATTTTACTGAAACTAGAACTTTCATATACCTTGCTGTAACATAGATTTCAGCTGTTTATCACCTTAACTTTTAACGAGTTATGACCATTTGAAGGTCAAAAATAGATGTACCTGTGGACAAGCTGAATAGTTAAAAAGAATTTTAATTAATCTGAATCATACCTGATTCTCAATTTGAAGATAGAGACTAAATCGAATATTGTATAATATATGAATTTAAGAAAAACAGATTTAACTCAAATATTTCTATCTATCACATTCAGGAATGAGAATATTCATTAATTCAATTCTTTCATCACAACAGTTAAAAATTGCGTTAAACAGAAGATTTTTTTTTACTTTTATTTTATAATTAAGATTTGATTTGTTTTTTTCGTCATTCTCTCTTGTTAATTCTCGAAGAAGTTCATTAATTTCTCGTTCGACAAGACCTTGCTGCCATAACACTAAATATATACATACATACACATATATATATATACTACGAAGTTAATTTTTTCTTAATATAAATGTTTACTCGGATTAGTTCTTGGTACACGGAATCGTTTTAAAAGTAGCCAACATATATGTTTGCATAGTTCATGATCATGTTGAAATGTAGAACACGTACATTTATGTGGATCACCTAAGAATACCTAAAGAATATGTATTTATATATATATATTCATTGAATATTGATCTAATATGAAGAAATACTTTAAATATTCGTTCATTATCTTCTTTGATAACAAAAGCTGTGGGACCTGTTTGTCTTAGAATAAAAAATGTCGAATTAAGTGCATCATTTTGAGCTTGAAGGCATCTTTCTGTACATTCAACACGATAAGGCAAACAACGGGACATCCTTTTGCTATATACTATAATAAATTTCTTAACTAAATCGCCATTTTTCTATTATACTTCGTTCGTTGTTGTGTAGAGCCTCTGTCTTATACTGGTTACTATTTTCAATGGTATTTTAAAGTAACCAATCCTATATAAAGATGAATCATCTCAAGAAAATTTAGGGCTATAAAAAAAAAGAAAGGTTTCCGTATTCAACGGTTGGGAATTTTAGATATTTACTAATTTCTTCATTGTCATTGTTTTGTTCATCATATTAATTTATTGTAAAATTATGAATGCCATAAATAGGTAAGCATCCCTTGAAATATATTTATTTGTCATTTATGATTATTATTAATTCCTATAGGAAAAAAAACAGAAGTTGTTTGAGATAAATAATTCTTTTACATATAAAATGTGTCTTATAGTTTTTTTTCTCTTTCTATATCTTACGCGATAATTCTATGAACCTCACTATGTTCATCACAGTTTATCGATGTTCATCGGCTCTTTTAATAAAATAAATCAATCGAGTAGTTTTTTTTCCTGTTGTTATTCATGGATTGCTATTCTTCGTCTTATGTTTACTATTATGATTTGCCGAGAGTAAAACGAAAAAGAAGAAGATGAAGAAATAATATCTTCTTATATTATTCAATTTGATTTAGTATGATTTTGATCGGCATCTTTGCGAATTTTACTGATTGAATGATCTTAAATATGTTACTCTTTGGTTATGATTATTTACTAATTAATATATCAATGTGCATTTTTTCTTATGTTTTTATCTGTTTTTGATTCTTCTCTATAAGGTTGTTGCCGTCATCATAAAAAAAAACGAAGAAGAAATGCACTCTGATTCTTGTTGTTAATACTACGAATATATGTGTTCCTATTATCATTATTGTATTATTTTCTCTTACTAAACTCGTTCTTTCTTTCTCTCTTTTTTCGCACTCTGATATTGTCGTCATCGGCCTCCACTCTTCTATCTTTTTTCTTTATGTTCTCTATGACGCGCACATCCAAACACACATGCCAGTTAAAGAGAATTGTAATATTGTCGTTTGCTCTTCTTCCTTATGGTGATGGTTGCTTTTTTTTTCTCATTTTTCTGGTCTATTAAATATCCGCATAAAAAATAGACTTCTGAATAGGTAACATCAAAGCAATCACACGTTATGACATTGGTTTAGCTTCCCCATATATGTTTGTTTTGCACTTAGACATACGAAAGAAATATGTGAGATATTTTTGAATAATTGTTTTTTTTTTATCTATAAAAAGAAGAAAATCAATCTAATCAAGTGGAACAATCAAAATATTTATATTAATTGGCAAATTTTCCTTCTTACATTTTTGTAGAAGTACTATTTTAATGGCATCTCCTACTTCGTCTACAACACCTAAATTAATCATACCGGAAGAAAGATCACCTAGTGAAACAAACGATAATTATACTTCTTCAACGTCTTCAGTACTTTCATCTAATATCATTCCTCCATCACGTGGAACAACAACAAGAAAATTAAAAAAAATTCTTTCAACACAATCAAGTTTTGAACGGCATCATCCACCACGTCCAATTGCCAAACGTTTTTCAATTGATGCTGATCCATCATCAGTCATTTTAAATACTCCTTCTACAGATCTTTCTTTTAACTCTTTACATCATCAACCATCAACATCAGATCCTGAAGAAACTTTATCAATTCTTACTTCTACAAATGTTCATGGCAAAGATCTGTCACCTGCTCGATCACCATCATTAAAAAAAAGTGACAGTTTCTTGGAAATACCCTATGAAAAAGGTGAAATAGCCGATTTAATCATATTGGCTGATGATCCAAATGCCGCAACACATATTACAAATGATGGGCACGAAGTGTTACTTGAACATGGAGCAGCTCCCTAGTGAGCCATGCAAATTTTACTGTTTTTCTCTCTCTCTCGCTCTCTCTCTCTTATGTTGCATGTTGTATCCGTTAGTTGTCGCTCTTCTCTTTGTGTGTGTGTGTAAAAAAAAATAAAAGCAATTTTGTTCTTTCATTACAGTATGCATGACACAATTAATATTCAATCGCCTATTCCTCTATTGCTTTGAATAGTTACACACAAAAAAAACGAAACAAAAATGACCTTTTCTCATTGTTACGAAGAAAAAACAGATTAATATTATCTTTTATCTTACTTTTAGTGACGCAATCAAATCAAAAAAAGAAGCTTCTCGAGAAGCTCGTAATGCTTTTATATCCAATCGTCTTTTGCCTGGCGTTTATTTTACTTTTATAACAGCATGTGGCTTATTAGGTGGTTTCGGTTTTGCTCTAGGTCGAACAAAGAAACGTGAAACCACAGCTAAACTTACTCAAAAAGTAAATGCAAGTATATTATTTGATGATGGTCATCGTTTAGCTGTAAAAGCTTTACGTCGTGCTTCAATTTATAGTTTAACTGGTGTTCTTTCATTAACTGGTTTTTTATGGTTAATTAGCGGAAAACCAAAAACACTTGCAGAATTTAGAACGTGGACTGGTTCATGGCTACCATCGATAAAAAGCAATAAAAATAAACAAGATGAAGGACGAACTGAATTTAAAAATTTAACAGAACTTATGCAATATTTAATTGATGAAGATAGTAACCTAAAGAATAAGAAAAAGGAAATGTCAACGAATATAAAAGACATTTAGTTTGATTTTGTTTATCTTTGTATTTTGTTTTGTTTTGTTTTGATATAAAAAGAAAAAAAAGATCAAGACTTTATTTTTGAAAATTTTCTAGATGGGAATATCGGATTTCCTATCGTTAATTTGTAACGATAGTAGTGATGCTTTATCAAAGATCTGGGTTGATCAAGATCTCTCACCTTGTTTTCGTAAATATATCTTTGAATTCGTACTTCATGTGATTACTCTCATTCTCATATCGTATAACATTGGTCAACGTTTGAAATGTTCATATCGTTTGTGGACATTTCCTCTTGCATTAATTCGTCTTGCATCAAGCTTAGCTTTGACTATGACATTTTCATTTTATTTTTATAACTGTTTTTTTGTTACTACAACAAAAATTCAATGGATTGATGCTATTAATATGTTAGTTACTTTCGCAGTATATTTATTTATTTGTTATTTGAATTTAAACAGTAATCTTTATCATAATAAACGTCCATTGACTTATATTATTTGGATGATAATGTTCTTTCTTGTGCAAAATTATGATATTTATCGACTTGTTATCAAACATCTGACATTAATTGAAAGTGTTTATGTTAGCGTTAGACAATTATGTTTATTTTTAATATCTTTCGGTCTTTTATTAATATGCTGTCATAAATGTGATCAACAAATACCAGCACAAAGTAAGTAGAGATTATAATTCAAGATATTGCAATGATTAATTTTGATATAATAATATAGTTTCTGAACTTAATGAAAGTCGACGTTTGTTGCCAGCTACAATTATTGTACAACCAAGATGTTCTTTTCTTCCATCATCACAAGAAGAATCAACAGATGTAATTAATGAAGATCTAGCGACCATAACACAATTGTTTACATTTTCTTGGTTTAATCCAATGATGAAACGTGGTTATAATTCATTTATTATTGATTTAAATGATCTATGTTCATTACCTTCTATAATTTTTTCATCATGTTCAACATTTCAACATCATCGTCAACTTTCTCGTTCACTTCTAAAAGCTTTTGGTCGATCGTTTTTTCTACTTGGCATCCTAAAAATTCTTGGCGACGGTCTTGCTTTTGGTGGACCTATTTTTCTTAATAAATTAATTAGTTATATGGAAGAATCAAGTGGAACTGAACAAAAAGATCGTGATTTACGTCGTGGTCTTCTTCTTTCAAGCATTCTTATTGGAACTGTAGCTTTAGCATCATTTCTAAATACACATTTTTCTTATCGCATAAATCTTTTAGGACTTCGTTCTAAAATGTATTTATATACACGTATTTACACTAAAACAACACAATTAAATACATGTGAAATGAATAGATTTAATATGGGTGAAATTGTTAATTTTATGTCAACAGATTCTGATCGTATTGTAAATTTTTTTCAATCGTTTCATGCATTTTGGTCATTACCAGCTCAAATAGTTATAGTTCTTTATTTATTATATCAACAAATTGGTTTAACATTTTTAACTGGTCTTGCTTTTGCAGTAATACTTATACCAATAAATAAAGTTATAGCATCGAAAATAGCGAAGTTGAGTCAAGCTATGATGTTATATAAAGATGAACGTGTTAAACTTGTTTCTGAGATTATATATGGTATACGTACAATAAAAATGAATACATATGAAAGCTATTTTGTTGATCGAATGAATAATGTACGACAACAAGAATTACGTGCATTACGTGGAAGAAAATATTTAGATGCTTTTTGTGTTTATTTTTGGGCAACAACACCAGTTCTCATATCTGTCTTAACCTTTACAACATATACACTTCTTGGAAATCAGTTAACACCAGCAAAGGTTTGATTGATTTTGTTTTTAGAAAAAAAATCCTTCTGCTTCACGATTTTAAACTTTCATATGAGTGTATTGAAAATTAAAAAAATGCAATCGACTAACCATAATGGCAATTAAATGAATATTCTTCTACTTGTTGAAAGTTTAAAAATGGAAAGAATGTAATTAGTAGAGAATATAGAATCAAAATAAATTTTCTTAAGATACTAATAGATGCTTTTGTTTCATATTCGACATTTTTGTTACACAATAGAAAGCAAATGTTGTTAAGTACCCTTCAATGAATTATTGTGTTAATTCAACAAATTTATACATATCTAGAAAAGCTGTTAGCACAATCCCTATGGAATGAATATATGAAATATGATGAAGCTGCTGCTAGTCTAAAAAGAGGAGATTAATCAAGATATATTTCGGTTTATGAATTTCTATCTACTGTTAATGTATGTCAGTGATGAAAGATATTAATCGCAATACATTCCAGTGAATATGAAAGAAAAGTTAAGGATAACTATCATCTTAATCTTGCACTGGACCTTGATCTCACAGTTATATCTGTCACGGCCGGTGTTAGACCTTTCATGATGTCTGTCACTGTTTATGATGGTTCCTTAATGATGTCTACCACGTCTGTGACGAGTCGTTGCTAAGATGTCTGTCATGTGATAAGCCGTTTCTCACGTGTTTATCATGATGGTGAAGGGAGGGGGGGGGCGCTTAGGTCTCAATTTTTACCCTTAAACTTCAACACTTCTTTTACATCGTGTTCAATTACAAATGATCGGAAGTCAACGATTAAAAAGAGACATATTTAGTGTTTCAAGCTACATTTTTTAAGTGAAATACAAGGGTTGAATTCGTAGTTTTTCATCTTTGCTAGTTTTGTATTGTAATCAAGATTTTACAATCAAAGTTTTGCTCATTCTGAAATATTTTAATTTAAGTAAGAAATATTGAATCGATTATTTAATAATTCGAGCCAGGATATCACGGTAGATGATTGACATTTTTGTTTTTGGTAACTTATCTTGTTCATGTTTTTCGTTCTCTATCTTTTTATTTATAATATAACATTGGAAGCTCCTGTCTACTGAAATATGGCATTAAACTTTGCTAAATTGAGCTAACAGGAAATATGAAAATCGAATAAACAAATAGAAAAGAATCTTGCACATGTAGATCGTGAATGTTTATTTTAACTTTGATGCGGATTTTTTTAATGTTGAAATGTATTTTAGGTATTTACAAGTTTGGCTTTATTTGCTTTACTTATTTCTCCATTAAATTCATTTCCATGGGTAATTAATGGATTAGTTGAAGCACATGTATCACTAAAACGTGTTCAACGATTTATTAATATTGAACCGACTAATCTTGAGGAATATTATGAAAATGTACCGATTGATCCTTATTCATCTTTGGGTATATGAATTGTCTTTTTTTTTCTTTTCTATATAATGAACAATATCTAAATATAGTTTTTCTCTATTTATTAGATCATCCATCATTAGATATCCGTATTAATCAAGCAAATTTTTCATGGAATTCTGCAGATAATATAGAATCTAATGATATATCATTAAAAGATATTGATTTGAATATTTTACGTGGTAGTCTTGTTCTTATTCTTGGTCGAGTTGGAAGTAAGATTAAATTTATTTTAATGTAAATAATCATTTAATTTACAGGTGGAAAAACTACATTACTAAACGGTCTTCTTGCTGAATTGAATAAATTAAATGGTTCAATTAATGTTCATCGTGTTATTGAAAATGGTTTTGCTTATGTTAGGTTAATATCATTTTTAGTTTATTTACGTTTAATATTTTTTTTTTTTTGATTACATTGTTTCAAGTCAAGAATCTTGGATTCAACAAATGTCATTTCGAGACAATATTCTTTTCGGTAAAACATATAATGAACAATGGTACAGAAAAGTTATTGATGCATGTGCACTTGAAAATGATATTAAAGTATAGAAATCATATACATCATATATATGTTCTTCTCATAGAATTGTTTATATGCAGAGTTTAGGTTTAGCTGGTGATCTTACATTGATCGGTGAAAATGGTGTTACGCTTTCTGGTATGTTCCTTTTTCTTTTCTAATTTTTTAAAGATTTGTTCTATTAAATAGGTGGTCAAAAAGCTCGTCTTGCATTAGCTCGATCTGTTTATCAAGTAAATGAATAATTTCATAAATAAATATGCTAACTATATAATTGTCTTACTTTTAGGATAAAGATATATATTTATTAGATGATCCTTTATCAGCTGTTGATGTTCATGTTGCGCGTCATTTATTTTCTCATTGTATTCGTGGTATTCTTAAATATAAAACACGTTTATTATGTACTCATCAAATTCAATTTATGGAAAAAGCTGATTATATTATTTTAATGGAAAATGGACGAATTATTCGAACAGGTTTTTTATTTTTCTATAAATACAGAGTGGTCCAAAAGTTAAAGAATGCAGAATTTTTTCGATTTCTTCTTTGCAAATGATCACAGTTAGATCTCATATTTACATCACATATACTAGGTGATAGTAATAAAAGATATAGCATATGATCAACCTATGTGTGCAATACTGTGTTCAAAAGCGTAGAAATCTATCTTACTGCTCATTCGTAACTGGATGAAAAATTCGATGTTCTTCGAGCTCTATTCAATTTCCATAATTTTGTTCCTTTGTTCCAATCTATGAAATGTAATGACGGATGCCGGCATGGGCGGTGGTTACCTCTCCCTCTGAAATTGATGTATGCTATACCCTAAGTCTTTTTGTATTTCTATGAGATTTACAGAGACAAATGGGATGTACTGCTCATTATTATTAAGTGTATAATGCTTTTATTCTGAAATGAACGATTTCTTAGAAAGACAACAATTTATATATATATATATGCTCTACGTAATGTTATTACTTGTATCAAATACTCTTTCTCTTGTTGAATATAAATGCTATTCCTGTCACACAACTGATAAGCGTTTTTTAGAGTTTAGCATTGAAATAGCCAACAGCCATATTAATGGTTCATTTGTGCCCGTTCTATCGATGATTAATAAGTATGGGATTCAATAAAAAAATCGACGTAATTCATGCACTGAATCCTGTTCGATGCAACGGTATTTTCTATCCGAATATCAAAGTTCATTTTGAAATCTATGCAATATTACCGATGACA